CCCCGCCCCTGGAAGGCACCTGGTTGGCCCCCGGTTCTGGTCACCTGCCCTACACGGCCGCGGGAAGATGAACGAGAAAGATGCCTTGTCCCTCAGCGCCACCGGCAGCGCTAAGCAACGCCAGGAAGCGTTGGCAGGCTCAAGCCCTCCGCCCAGAAGGGGAAACACAGGGCCGCTTAAAAAGGGTCAAGACAAGCGTGAAAGTGGGGCATGGACAGACCACTACAAACATCTCAAGGGCATTTACACCAATTGCCTATCTGAGCTAAGGCCTTGGAATCAGCCACCCTGTCCTCTGCAACCAAGCGGCATGGCCAGAGCCCTGTCTTTGGGGCGCTCCCGGTTCGCGGGGCTCTGGGGAGGCCTCCAGCCAGGCCGCTCCCCGCGCTTCCCGCAGCCAGGGCTACGGGTGTGCCTCTCACGTGGCTCCATTTGAGGCCGATTAATTAGAACAAGCGGTTAGGTACATTTTTCCTCCAGCCTTCCTTTGAATTTAACCCGAAGGCTTTACATTTGTGTTTTGAATTTTTATTTATTTTTAAATTAAAAAAATAATTAACCTTTTCAAATGGGGTTTAACATCCTAGCAGGCCAGGTGATATTTACTGTTCTCTTGTCTTTAAACGAGTTGGAGGATGGTTTGGTAGTGGGCTGGTGGTGGGGTTAGAAATGGGATTAACGGCAGAGGTAGAGGGAGCTTCTGGCGGTACTGCATGGCCCTCATTTCAAGCTAAGTGTCCCTCTCAGGTGGATGAACAGTCCAGTTCACCAAGCATCCCACCTGGGGGCTGCCTGTAGCCATAGGCTACCTACACGGCCCGCAGCCAGGCCGAAGGACATGGTGCGTCCTGGACAGAGGCCACAGAAGGTGGCCTGGCCCTCCCTGAACCTCTGGGTGACTGTGGACAGAGATGGCCCTGAGGCAGCACAACACTGACTTCCCTCCCCAGGCTGCCCCCCTTCCCCTTCCCAGAAGAGCAGACAGCCCAGGGGCACTGGCGTTCACTACTCCAGAAGGCGCGTGGGTAGGACCAGCAACTGGGGGACATTTTGAGAGGCACCTCTGCTGACTGAGAGAATATTGGCTGTGTTGAAACCACCACCCAAAGCCCCCAACCAACTGGCACAGAGCAAAGCACTGAGTGCTGCCAGGAGAAACAGCTTTGAATTCAAACATGAAGCTAATCAGAACACGGGCCACACAAAGCTGCCAGCTATTTGATGGGTGTCGCAGCAAAACACACCCATCTGAGGGACGACCCAAGGGCTTTATCAGTTCTCAGCAACAACATCAAATCTTTTTCAAAGAGCAAATATTCATACCTGCTTGTCCCTCCTACTCAAGGCGGTCTTTAAGTCTAGCGCCATGGGATCCTGCTGGAGAGCCAGCTTCCAAGGCTTCAGAGCCCTAACCCGGGGTAATTGCACTGCAGCTGGAGAGGGGCGGGGCCAGCTTGTTTGTCTTCCTGGGTCACTGAGTTAACAAATTTTCATTCATTGTCTTGGGATTATTCCACAGGTGGGGCTGGAGGGCAGAGAAACGGTGGGAAACCTAGGCTCAAGAGGACAGGCTCTGGACTCACCCTTAGCAAAGCTTCCTCCACCCACTCCCTCCCCCAAGACCTTCAAGCCCTCTGGAGCTGGTTGGGATAGACACGTGAGCCTGGAGCCAGCCCCTTTCTGGCTGGGCCTCTGGGCAAGTCCTTTACCATTTCCGAGCCTTGGTTTTCTGTACCCGTAAAATGGAAGTAATGATATTACCTACCTTAGAGGGTTGGCACTATGTTCATAAGGTGCCTGGCTATGCTCCTTACTTCAAAATCCTCTAATGCCTCTCAACTGCCTAGGGGGTCATCAACTCCAAATACTGAGCATGGAATTTAAGGGAGAAATTAGCCATTATAGTTTATATGCCTAGTAACTCTTCTTCAAGTAGATTGAAATTGTTTTCAGAATGACAGAAATACAGATCAATGCACACAAGGTGGATGGGTTCATGGTCTGCAATGTGTGACCCATAATGGCTCTCTGATTATACCCAAGAAGTGCTGGGCATGGGAACTGGTATTGAATAACAACAGCTGAGCATGAATATCTGCCACGTGCCTGACATGGCCTAAAAACCTCAGACATATTAACTCATATCATCTGTGGTATGCAGGTAAACAACAACTGGCTGGGGTGCGGGGTGAAGGGTAGGGTTTTGGGGGAGTCCGTGTATGTAGCCTTTGCTAATTGCCAATTTCTATGGTGTAAATACTCCCACCATGGTTGACTTCAAGCTCCCAATCTGCCATTACTGAGTGAGGAGTGGGAAGAGGTGCTAACAGTTGGCTCTCATGAGGCTGCTGGTGGAGGAGACCTGAGGTTCATATTAGAGACCCCAGCTCCAGTGAGATGACTGGGGCTAGTTACTGGGTGACTTATATATAATAAGAGCAGAGGGAAAGTGCAGAAGGTGAAAAGGGACCTAAGACAAGCCCAGGACTCAGTGCTTCCTTGGCAGCACCCTTCCTTCAGAATATATGTGACTGGGTCCTGAGTCCTTCGAGCCACAGGTTCATCTGCTTTCCTTTGCTGTGTAAGGTTAAATTCCAAGCTCCTGATTACAGTGTTTCAGTGGGGCCTCTGCTAGTCCTTTGGGGAGGGATTGGGGAGAGGTCCTGCTATGGGCTGCATGTGCCCCACAACATTTATAAGTTGACTCTCCAATGTGATGGTATCAGGTGGTGGGGCCTTTAGGAGGTAGTTAGGCCATGAGGATGGAGCCTCCATGACAGGACTCATGCCCTTTTTAAGAACAGGGGGAGAGCTCTCGGCCATGTGAGGATACAGCAAGAAGAGCCCCTCACCAGACACGGTATCCGCCGGTGCCTTGATCTTGGATTTCCCAGCCTCCAAACCTTGAGAAATCAACGTCTGTTGTACAAGCCAGTCTACACCATTTTTGGTAAAGCAGCCCAATCTAAGCCAGATTCCCTCATGCATGTGCTTTAAGAGGGCTCCTACCTTTGGATAAAGCTGTTTTACCTGACTATGCTTTAAAAAGAGAAAAACAGTTTAATATTGTGCTGTTTCCTCTTTTCTGCTACCTTCAACAACTTTAAAACCCAATTCTAAAGCACTGTCTCGGCATCTGTGATAACACAATTTAAACAGACACCAAGGTCGGTTAGCTCAGAGAGTAGTCTGGGACCACACCACTCGAGGGATGCTTAGGCCTGCCTGACCCCATGGTCAAACATTTGCTCCCTGCCGTCAGCCTTGTTGGAAATGCATCCTCCTGACCCTGGGAGAATATGGGCAGGAGTGTGCAGGTCAGTCCCACAAAGCCATCAGGACCACTGGAGAGACAGGCCAGACATGTGCCCAGAATCTCTAGTGTCACCATTGTATGTAGAATAGAAAACACAGTTAGAGTCAAAAGGGACCTTGGAAATCATTTCTCAATTTCTTCTAATAAAATGGATAATTGTATCACGCCCAGGTTTATCATGGTTCTCTCCTCCCTCTAGACCAGTGGTTCTCAACCAGGGGTGGTTCTACCCTCCAGGGACGTTTGGCAATGACTGGGACATAATGGTTGTCAGCCTGGGTGAGAGGTGCTCCTGGCATCTGGTGGGTAGAAGCCAGGGATGCTGCTAAATACCCTACAGTGCATGAGAGAGCCCCACAAAGAAGAATGGTCTAGCCCCAAATATTCATAATGCCAAGGTTGAGAAACCCTGGTTTATGCATAAAAAAACTTTCCCCAAACTAAAGACATGGCATTCTTACCCCAAAAAGAAATCATATCCACAAATCATATTTTATTAGCTGTCCAATGCCACCTTCCATCCATGCCCTGTGTTTTAATTAAATTTTATGAACTACCAGTACAAATCAATACAATGCTTTTTTTTTTTTTTTTAACACACCGACAGCTTGAATGTTCTTGAAGCTTTTAAACAATGACTTGACTGTGGGCAAACAGAAGATAAGGAATCAGAGATAATTAGCTCATGCATCTGGTGCTGGCTAATAAATAAATAATTTTCCCATGAATGCAGAAACCACTCAGTGTTAACTGTTTTTATTTTTTTTAAATAGTTGGGAACTATAATAAAATGCAATTTTCAGAAGCGCCTTGGTGACTGAGTAGAACTGCTTCACTTAAAACATAATAAAGTTACTTCCCCCTGCACTGGGGTGGATGAGCATGTAGCAAAATCTTCCCTCCCACGAGACTCCGGCAGATGGAATGATCTTGCACAAAATTCATTTTCCTGTGATTCTTCTCGTGGAAGCCAGAAGCCAGGAAGAGCACCCTGCTTTGAAAAGAGATTGTTTGGTTCACACAGTACACTTTGGTTTATTTAAACAGGTAAGAAAGTGGTACCCAGTTCTCCCAAGGAAAGATGTATTTTCTGACTATTAAATAAATCAAGAGTCTGAACAAGTTTCCTTTTCTGGTAAAAAAAAAAAAAAGAAAAACAAAAGTGTATTTTTCTTTCCCTCCAGTGTTCAGTTGCTCCTCTTCGGAAATACTCTTCAGATAAAGTCCGTTTACGCCTGGGCCCGTCAGCAGCCCCACGCCACGCCTTCCACGCGATGAAGGTCTGACACGGCGTCTGACAGGGCAGCACTTGGTGGGTGCTCGGGTATGAGTGTCAACCTGATGCTCTGAACGGAAAGTTCTCATCATGCATCTAAAAGTATCTTCTTAAAAAATATAAAAGTGTATGCTAGCTTGTGCTCTCTTAGTAAGGCTTGCAAATGGGTCATTAAATAAGCAAAATATAACTCATAAGCAAAAGAAAAGTGCATTTTTAAATAAAATTAACAAATGGAGATGGTTAAAACTACAACCAAAAAGATGATTAGATTGTTTTTGGTTAATCTTGGGGAGGGAATGACACAACAGTTATGGTTTCTTTTCTTTTTTGGTCCATTTGGTTTTGCTTAAGCTACTCCCCGGTATCGTGATGAGGGCATCTGAGTTTCACGCGGCCTCCGCGCCCTGCTGACACCACCATTCAGATGGGGAGAAACGTGTTTGCCTTTCACCGTAATGAACTTTTTACAAAACTGGTCTTAATTCATGAATATTGCAATAAGCACAGAAAACAACAGACCTCCCTTTGCTGCAAACAGTCCCAGTCCCCGCGCCGTCGAGCTTAGATCCTCACAACCCTCCGTGAGGCGCTGCAGAGGATCGTGGGGGCGACTTCTGCAGGCAAAGTGGCCGATTTTCATTCCTGTTGCATAAAACCACGTAAGCAGAAATTGGAGGCTCTCTCCCTTCGTCTTTTACTAACCGGTCAACTTCCTTTTTTTGCCCTTTATGGAAACCTTTTCCTTGTTGCAGCCGCTTGTCAGGTTAATTGCAAAAGGGGGGAAAAAAGAGAAACATCTCCCGAAACGTATCCCTGGGAGCTCATGTCCTTTTGCCGCTTGTCTTCTGCTTCTGCTGGCGAAGGTGAGCCTCGATCTCGTGCCTGAAGACCAGCATGCCCAGCTGCCCGTGGGACGCCTCGTTCATGGCCTTGGACTGCATGCACATCTTGTACTGCTCGGGGGTCAGCTCGTCCACACAGCGCTTCTCGTGCCAGAGGTGGAAGAGGCCCCGCACGGGCGCCCGCACGACGATGAGGCTGCTGTGCAGGTACTTGCGATACAGGTGCACGTCCTCCCCGCCCCAGCCTTTGATGTCCAGGTCAAAGCCACCTGTCAGGAGAGAGGACACTGCTGAGCGCGCCGGGCCGCGTCTCCCGGTCTCCACGCGCCCCCCGGGCCGCACCAGCACAGCGCCGTGCGTGAGGAGCAGCGGCGTCCCGGGCAGGGCCTTTCACAGCCCCTCCGAGCCAGGAAAGGCCACCGGGCCGGAGAGCTCGGAACTCTCAAACAGGGGACCTTCGCGGCAGCCAGACCGACTCCTGAGGGGAGGGGGCTGCAAGCAGGGCCCCAGCACGGGCCTGCCCTCCCCAGAATGGCCGGCGGTGCTAGCGGCCAGCCCTGGCCTCCGGCTGAGAGCGGCGGCAGCGCCCTAACCCGAACCCCCCCGGTGAGCCCATGTGCGTTTCGGCGTGAATGTGGCCTCCCCCAGCCGCTTCAAATGGAGTAAACCAGAGGCGTGCAGGGCGAAATAGTAAAACAGGATCGGTCTCAGCGTGAAAAAAATCACATCCCACAAAAGTCGTCTTCCTTTCGGGGGCTAACGTGGCCCCAGAAAGCTCGTGAAATGACTCGTGTCAAAGGGACGGGCCCCAGCCAGTGCTGAAGTTCTGCTTAGACAACCTTGTTTCACGGAGTCACGGCCCCCTGAACTCTCACCTTGTAAACTGAGAGGCCCCAGGTCGTTTCTTAATCTAAAGCCCACCATGTCTCAAGTAGAACCAAAGAAAAACCGGCCTCCTGTTGTCACTGTTCCTGTCTCACCTGTGGGATTTCTCTCTTACAAGAAACAGTGAGGGGATTCTCAACATCTTTTCTCAGAGTGACCACGCAGCCCTTTGTCCCCTGCAGCCCCCAAACCTGCTGCTCTGATCAAGGCTATCGCTGGATCCAGAAGGGGGGCTCACCAAGCACAGGGAAGCCACATCCCCAACCACCCCTGGGCCATGTACAGGAGTGATCTGTGCCCCCCAAAGTGTGCAGGCAGAGACCATTCTGAGTCAAGAGTCTGGAATCTGAATCCTGGTTCTCATCCAAGCTTCCACTTTACCTCTCTTGAGTTTTGGTTTCTTTATCCTGAAATGAAGTAGGTGTCATAACCAAATGAGACAGTAATGTAAAGGGCAGTGCTTGGTTGGCTGTAACTGATTTATTATTCCCACTGGTATCATCACAACTTATTAAGTAGAAGCTGTGTGAGTATATGACGCCTGCAAATTAATACAAGATTGCAAAGAATGACTGGGGGACAGATGTAACCCAAAGATTCATTCTGAGGTCATAGCAACAGCTTCCTGGGAAAGAGCAGCCTGCCTAGCCTGCCATTCCCATGTTTTCAATTACAGCTATACCCTATCTATAGGGGGGAAAAGTATTATAAACCCAAATTTGATAAACTTACATCATCACAAAATAATCTCTCCCTATACACAGAGCAAGGAAACAGATTCTTGAAATGAAGATATCCTTTAGAAATTTAAAAAATATATATGTCATTTTGAAAACTGATTTGCACAAAATCACTTAGGATTATTTCTTAGAGAAATCAAAGAACACCTGTGGTTCGATGCCAGTTATCTGAGGGCACCAGCCACTCAGAGACCAATATCCTAGGTGCTCCACTGCTTCTTACAGGACCTGACCTCCTGTCAGGTTTTTGTCTTTTTAACTAACTGGTGATTTCTGTGAGTGTTCTGCAGTCCCTATAGACTATCTCACCTCTGAACAAAATCCTGGGGCTGCTCAGATAGACTCACTGATCTTAAAAAAAGAAGCTTTAGGCCTTGGCCAGAGGGGGGGTAGACCAGGAGAGAGCAAGGTGAGCAGGCTCTTGGATGCCCGCAGGGAAACGGTGGAGATGGGAGTTTCCACACTGTGTTAGGACACAACCTCCCTGACTCCATCCTGCTCAGGGACCACCCAGAGCCCAAGCCCAAGATCAAGGTTTCTGACCTGCTCATTCATTCCCTAGACACATATAATCCATAATTCTACTTCCTTCAGAGGCACATGAGTTATGAACCACTGTGGGGAGAGAGTGTGGCACCTCCAAGGGGACAGCAGGCACTCTGTTCTCATGCTGACCATGTCCCTCACTTTGCCTCTGAGAGCCTTGGCCTCCTCAAGTGCCACCTAAGGGCCTTTCCTGTCTGTGCTCTGGGAGCCTGTGTGTGTGCACAGTAACTCTACCTTCAGAGCTTCAAGTGACATCTGGAATTTTCAAAGGTACAGAAGAGAGAAATTTGGATCTTTTCTGGTGTGTGACTTTCCAAAATTCCCCACGTCACTCTATTTTTTAGTGGATTCCCCTAGGCCCGGGATGTTCTACATGACGGTGCAGGTGCCAGACTGGGTTGGAAGGCCGCACTGGGGGAGCTGCTTTGAAGCTGCCCTTATACAAAGAGCTGCCTGAAATCCTCAGATGTGAGCCTCATTTGGGATGCCTGAGAGATGCTGGTGGAGGTAACAGGGGCTAAAGTGCCAAACACTCCCAGGCCCCCTCTTAGTCAACCCCAAGTCCATGACAAGAGGAATGAACTTGAAGGTCCTTCCCTTAAGAAGTGGCACTGCCTTTGCCACCCGCCTCCTTGGAAGCGGACCCGACTCCCTCATGGCCGCACACCAGCCTCTAGGTGGCGGCAGAGACGCAGGCTTGTTCCAAGTGGATGCCTCTTACCTATATTGATGAAGTCTGACCGATACTGACATGTCATCCCGAATCCAAAGTCTCTCCAAAATCCAGTTTCTTTCTTTATGACCTGTGGGGAAAGCACTTTCATTTGAGAGGGAAGGACAGAGTGGATAACAAGAAACAGAGATTATGTACAACCCTGTCTAAGCAATTTTGCAGAGAGCCCATCCCAGTGATAAACAGCCACAGCCCTGTGTGGGAAATGCAGATGGATCTGTGTCCTTTCGGACAGTTAGGAACACAGTCAGCTCACCAGTCCCAAAACAGGGCCTTGTGATTTTTGGCATCCCTGGCTGGAATGTTTCTAGGGTGCAAGCATGGAAACACACACACGTACACACACACACACACACACACACACTCAAAAACAAACAGGAGAGCAAGTTTTTGAGCGGCGCCATGGAANTACACGTACACACACACACACACACACACTCAAAAACAAACAGGAGAGCAAGTTTTTGAGCGGCGCCATGGAAAAGCCACCTACGCGTCTGGCCCAACACCAGTGCCAGTGAGAATTGGAGGCCTCGGCCCCTCACACAGGGCTGGGCTGGGAGCCAGCAAAGGGCTCAGGAAGTTGAGAGAAGGGATAGAGAACAACTCGGAATTCAGCTGCCCTGGCACAGAGCACAAACAGGCAATAAAAGGAAAACCCGAGACTTCAGCGTGTGACTCCGGCTCTGCTCTTGCTTGTTGAAGAAAAGGGCACCATGAGTCCAGGTTATGAAGAAAGACTCTGTCCATTCATTTTTACTTTAAAACCAAACCGCCCCAAAAAGCATCTGCAAATTGTTGCCAGGCTGCAGGGCTGCTGAGAGGCCATCCAAGCAGTGACTGTCTTTGAAAAATGAGACCTGGCCCTGCCCAGGCTCTAACTTTGCAAGTAAATTTCCAATGTACTGGCTGAAGCAGCAAGACTTCCAAAAACTGCTTCTATATTTTTGGCTGAGGTAATTCTGGGAATGGTTTGGGGACCTCTTTTAACAGTTATTTTTCATGATTCATTCTTGTAGTTAACATAGGTGCTTCGGTGAAAGGAAGTCTCCTGGGCAGGGGGAGGGAAGGGGAGGCTGTAGCAGGTCCCCATCCACTCAGATTTCTGCATTTTCCATCTGGGACATCTGGCTCTGTTCACAGCTAATGAGAAACTGTGTGTCTTGTCCCAACTTGACCACTGGCTGGCTTTTTGGCCTCAGGCTAGTCCCGCACTTCTTCAAGCCTCTGTTTCCTATAAATAAGGTTGAGTTAAATCACTCCTCTCTTAGGTCTCTTCTAGCTCTAAGATCCAAACATTTACCCCATTCCTGCTATCTCACCTCCCTGAAGTTTCCTTTTATCTACACCACAGGCTAAACTGTATTCAACAAATGGCTTGCAGAAGGGTTGATAAACTTGAAAACTCTTTTACTCTGTAACCTATAAAACAATCTTATTTTCACTACAACCTCCCCAGGGATGTCACTTGCACTGCCCCTAGACTGCATCAGGACTGCCTAGGGAAAGTCAAGACCAACGGAGGTTTTGTCGGCTACTGCGGTCCCCAGCACATGCTCTCCGATCCTTCTTCAGAACAAAGGCCTGTAATACAATATCCCCCAAGTGACAAGACAATTTCATTAGTATCAACTGGAAAGACTTTTTAGGGTAGGAAAGTCTGGAAAAATCTCCACTGAGTCATTTTTTAAAAATGGTTTCTGTTTCATCTCTTTCATAGCAGGTACACTGTTTCTGTTCCTATTAATGGCTTAATAGCCTTTTTGCTTGTCAGGACACAGACAAGTCCACTAAGCTTCTGGATAAAAGTAGAGTCAGTACCCAAACTTCATATACTTGGCTGAGGTCTATATGCAATGTAAAGAGAAAGCCCCAAACAGGGCAAACGATGGGTTGGGGCTTGGGAAGAAAGACAAGGGGGTGTTGCAAGAGGTAGCACCCCAGGGCTGGGATGAGTGGACGAAGTGCCTGGTGAGCCTGCACAAAGTGAAGAGTGACCCTTGGCTGGGGGCAGTGTGACAGAAACAAATGGCTGTACGAGCTGGGGAATGAGCTATATAAATACTTATTAACATTGGCTTTGAAGTTGGCAAGCCAGGAAAAGTCACTGTCTGAAGAGCTCATTGAAATGTAGCCCTTGGTGGGAACTGATGAGATCTGCCCACAGCATACACTGTCAGAGGAAGATGGAGCGCACTGATTAGAGCTCACTTATTAAGGCTCCACCACCCCGGCTGTGCCGAGTCGCTAACTGGAGTGGTGCCCGCGACCAGCAGCCTAGCTGGGAGTGAGCTCTCAGGTGTACATCAGATCCCAGCACGTTCCCATTTAAAGCCCTGCAGTGGTTTTAATTGCATTCTCTCTAATGCAGTTAGAATGAAATCCATGAGGAAACTTCTAACCCGCCAAGGTCCCACATGACCTAGCCCCAGCCTGCCTTGCCCATCTCATGTGCCCCTTACAAATAGACCCCTTGTATTCTGCCCCTTGAATGTACCAGGCTCACAGGTCTCCACAGCTGGATACTGCAGACCCCCATCCCTGGGTCACCCTTTCCCTGCTCACTCTTGGGCTCTGCTCCAATGTCATTGCTGAGTCGTCATCCTGGCCCTCCCCCAGCCACTGTCAACCCTTTCCACCAATGTCACATTCTACATACACCATCACCTGGTTTATTTTCTCTATAAGCCAGGCCCTCTGAAATGATCCTGTTGCATCTGTTCCTCCATTAGCTGACTGCCTTTACCCACTACCATTGATGAACGTCAGCTCAGCCTTGGGTCACGGCTGTGTCTCCAGCACCCAGGTCACTGTTTCGCACAAAGGAGGCACTCAGTAAACACAGTAAGTCGCCAGTTAACATTGTGAATAGGTTTGGCGACTTTAAACCAAACAACATACAACAAAACCAGTTTACCACAGGCTGACTGATACAAACAGGAGTTGAGTTCCAGTGGCATCACATTAGCGTTATCATGAAACAACGTTGAACAAAACATTACCTGAGGACCTGCTATACTTCTCTAATGAATGAATGAGGAGCAGTCCTGGGGCAGAGACAACATCAAGCCAGTGGAAATAGACAGGGTTCAAGCCCGGGAACCTTGTCAGGGTGTGAATCGGCCAAGGCCTAGGAGTTCCAGTGGGAAAACCCTCCGAATCATGTGGCTCTGGGCCAACAGACAAGTACATTTTCACCTTCCTGGCGTCTAAGGAGAGGGCTTAACCTCTTAGAACCTTTGTCCCAAGGATGTTCTGGTCAAGCATTGAAAAGATACACACCAACAATGTCCAGAGGAGGAAGAAACCCTAAGACAGAGATTAGACTTCAGAAGAGAAACATCTCCTCCTCCTGTCCTGAATTTCCCGACCTGTTTTCAAGTGCTATCCTCACTTTTTCAAGTTTCTTTCCAGGGCTGGCCTCCTCTTGGCTCTCTGGAGCACCCTCTCTCCCCCCACCTTTGATCCAGCCCAGCATTGCAGGGCAGGAACACACCAGAAAGGACGGTTGTCAGGCCTGCTCCCCCACAGGAAGTTTCCAGACCCCCAGCTCTGTGGGAGATTCATGGGATTGGGGTGATTATTTTCTATTAGGACCAAAACACAAAGCACAAATCAGCGCCTCTCCCCAAAGACATGGGAAGGCAGCCACCCTGCAGCTACACGGGGGCTGGGGAGCCAGGCAGCGCCTGTCTGCTTTAATGGCACTGACTTGGACAACTGCCCATGAAGCAATCTGGGCCCTAAAATAAAATAAATAACATACACTCGGGCAGAGTATTTCCTCTAAATACAAGAGAGTCTCCCAAGAACTGAGGTTGTGTCAGAGCAGGCTCACATTCACCAGAAACACCAATGGTGTCCATTAAGCTGATTTCTGCCCTCGCTGTAGGCAGTGTCCGGCCCACAGACCCCACGCAGAGAAGGCTCCAGGCCGCATTTAATGCATTGCTGCTGCCATCTTGGGATTCTTAATGAGTTTTGAACATGGGCCCCGAGCTTTCATTGTTCTCTGGGCCATGCAGGGTGGGCAGCCAGCCCTGTCCGTGAGCAGCAGACACCTCAAGCTTCAGGGTCCTCTGTGGCTGGGTTGGGTGGCCCGACCCCACCAAGGTTTTGGTGAGCACCCCGTGTGGGATTCTGGGGGCTGCATGTGGCATGCATATGCCCGTGGTAAGGCATGGGGCAGTAACACTTTTTATTTCTTGAGAAATAAAGTATTCTAGAGCCACAGCTTTCAAAGCACTGGTGTAAGAACAGACTCAAATGCCACCTCCAAGATTTGTACGAACCCACATCTTTGACAAGTCGTCTTTTATCAGTATCTGCATTTGAAAAATGAAGTGTCCTCGGAAGGGTACCATGCCGATCAAGGAATGGTCCAGGTTCCCTCTTTTCTAGGGATCTGTAACCAGGGGCTAGACTCTGTGCTCTCAGAGAAGTACTCTGAGGCCAAAGAGTATGTCCACTCGCATCCTCAATCCAGTCTCCATCACATGGGGGGCACTTGAATTCCCAAACTGGCCACTTAGCAGTCTGGGCAAGTGGCTTGTGCCTCTGAGCTTCAAGTTTCTCATCTGTGTACTGAGCACAATGAAGCCTCTTCACATGTAATACTGCTGAGCACTACACACAACGATGGGGACACGGTGCTGGTTTACAAAGACTGCACAGATTGCCTCTGTTAATGTTACTCTTGACATTCAGCGAGTGTCTGTTTTCCGAATAAACAAAAACAGACTACACCTGGTCAGCAATTTTTAGAAGTTTAAACTGAAATGCAGTTGAGCGGCAAATACTTTTTGGAGGTGGGTAGAGAGGTGAGAGTTTAATCAGAGAGGTGAGGTCAGGGGCCAGCACACCATCTGCACACTGAACAGACTGGTGCAAAGTCATCAGATTTAAATGAGAGGTGGGCTACATGGCAGACTGAGATGTTGGGCACTGTGAGCAGTAGAAACGGTGAGGAGATAGATGGCCTTGAGGTGGAAGGAGGCAAGGAGACACTGGGCAGGGAGCTCACCTAGCAGAGCGGCTGGCTCGGGTGTCTACTGAGCTGGTACCCTGTGCCAGGTGCTGGGGTTTGCAAACATCTTCTCTGTAATCAGTTTTAGAGTCAGTTTGTGGAGGACAGTTAATCCCAACAAGGAATCGGGGTTGCAGTCCTGTGCTAGAGCCAGCTGGGATTGTGCAAGTTTCGTCCCAACTCTGTGTTGAGTGACATCATGTTGGTAGCCTGAAATAGGCCACGGTGGGAGAATTGACACCACGGGAAATGGCAAATGTTATGAATTGGGGCTTTTTTTTCTGTTTCAGAGAGTGGGTTGTTAAACATTTACAAGCACACCACTGGCTTTTTTTTTAATGGAATTAAACTGCATTTTGGAAATGTATCTCTGGCAGAGGGTAAAGGAAAGACTGAGTATAGAAGAGGGAAGGAGTCTAAAGACAGACGTGGTAAGAGGCTCCCACCATGGCCCCAGCAAGAACTGAATGTTAATAATTATTGAAGTTACAGTAATTCCTTTCTCAGAGTGCTGTTTCTACATTAAAGCATAGGCAAGTTTCATCTCAAGTGTAAAATTCAAGATATTAAATATTCATATAAAATCCCATGATTTCACTTATTACTAATGGTCTGCACTCAAAAGTAAAGAAGCAAGTAGTCTGAACACACACACACACACACACACACACACACATCGTAAGTTTGGTTTCTTACTTTTGTCTGCAGACAAAATGTTATCAAATGACAGTGGCCATAGCCAGAAGTGAAAACTAGAACACTGACTGTGAGGTCATATCTGCAGGGCTGCTGGGAAAACCTCTCTTTTGTTTGCATAAATCAGTACCTCTTATTGCAGCAACATTCAGGATCTATGTTCTCCCTTCGCCTCTGATACTGATGCATTCCAGGAAGGCTATCAAGAATGCATTAATATATATGTACCATATCTCTTTCTAGACTGAGCCAAAATAAACTCTTAGCAGGAAGTCTTTCCTAATTTATCCCTCTAATCATTACTTTTTATTTTACACCTCCTTAGCTCCCATTCTATCTCCAGTATATTAATTTCTGTAGTTTGATGTTCTCCCTTGGAATTTTTGTCAGGTCATTTCCTTTCTATTTCAGCTCTCATCTAGACCCTAAGCAAATCTACTTGCCCTGCACTAGAGTAAAGAAATCCTAGTTTCGGCCTGAGCTTTGCTACTAGCTGGCTGTGTGATCTTGGGCAAGTCTATAGAAAAGAAGGGAGCAGTCGAAATGATCTTGCAGTCACTTCCGAGTATACAAAACTGTTTCAGTTCTCTGACTCCCTGACTAACACCTAGACTAGTTCTCTAGACACCTACATTGCTTCTCTGCTCAAAAAAGGCTCATCCAGTAAAGAACATAATCAATACTTTTCTTTTTTGGATGGAGATCTTGCATCTCACAGACAACTGCTGTGTTTCTCTGGACTAAAGAGTCACAAATATTGAATCCAAAAGATCAGACTTATGTAGTCTAGGAAAGGCTGAAGGTATATTTAGAAGTAAATGTTAAAGGTTGCAAGATAATTCAGAGGTTCCCGCTGTGGATACAGCAATCTGAGTTCTGTTTCTGGCTTGACCACTAATTCAGAGGATCTGAGAAACTGGCTTCACCGAGCCACACCTCTGGCTTCACTTTGTACCTGCTTCCCTAGGAATGGTAATAAGAGGATAAATCTTTAACCTCTGAAATGAAAAGAATACCTTGCAAGCAAATAAGGTCTTTAGGAGTTTAAAGTCAAAACCTTAATCACATTTGATATAAAATACAGCGTGGCACTTTATTTAATATCAAAGGAACTTTTAATCTGATTGGTTGAAAGAAAACAAATCCTGTATCCCATTTCCCCCTCAAACCCTAATAGAAGCTTAGAACTCTTACAGAATGGAAATAAGAAGTTTTTCTGCCTCAACAAGGGTGGATAAAAATGGTTTTGGGGGAGTGAAACCTCTTACTGTGTTTATGTATAAGGTACCTATGTACATATAGTACATAAACAGACATTCAGCACATCTGTGGTTTAGGATATCATTGGGGGAAGGAAAATTATATTATTACCGTACTATATGGCCTGGGTCCCAAGTGGAATCGTGCTATGATATGACCCTTGTCCAACCTGAGAGAACCCAGGCTGAAACTCTCTGGAACAGATCATTGCCTCAGCTGCCAGAGGTTAACTGGAGCAGGGCACAGGATATGGCTGGAGAAAACAGGCAGTACTACTTCTGGACGCTTAAACACAGAATCTATCCTACAAAAGGATTTCATAAAACACGTATTTTCAATGATTTTCAGTTTACTCTCCCATTGCACAGAAGCACGGGAGTCTTGGTCCTGTCACGTTTTCATTTTCACGCAGCAGATTTCCTTCCCCAGCCCACGAGGTACTCAACGGGAGGAAGCGTGGCTTTTCCTCAACAGGAGACAGAGCCACCCAAGGCAAGAAATACCAGGAGGCCCCCCGGTCAGCTGCTCCCCTGAGATGCAGCCTGAGTTGGAACACAGCTCTACACAAGCCCAGCTGATCTCTCTGAAGGAAAGATCACAGCCCAACGGGCACTACAAGAACGGGAAACTGAGTCCCAAAGGGGCGTGTCTACATGTCTACAGAGGCCCCCTTCCGGCTTGTCTCATCTTCCCACTGCCTGCCCTGCTTCTCTGCTAATGGACTGACTCCTGCCACCAGCAACAGGGACAACTCAGCTTACGGAGATCCTTGGTGGCTGTGTGGTTCCACTGCCTATTACCTATGCGGCTAAGATCTTAGCAGAGAAGCTAATGCCCACCCAAGGCCCTGTCACATGTGGGAATGAGAGCATGATGAGAGGGCATTGGATCTGGTCCCTGCTCCCCACTGACTCATGCACTGTGTGCTGGGGTGAGCCACCCCTTTCTGACTTGCGCTTTCGATCTGCCAAATGGGAATACAAATCTCACTTTTCTTACCTTGCAGGATTTGGTAATAATGTAGAGAAAATGTGCTGCATCCATAACCCAATAACACTAGTTTCCAAAAACCACAGAAACAAACTAGGAGGTATGAAATTACCTTTCTGAAAGGTACTGCTCCTACTAATTTTCCACTTTTAAATATCACAAGCACTTTCAATCAACAAGGCACTGGGATGGAAGCAAAGGCCAGAACGTCTGCCAAACTTAAAAATTAATACAGGAATCAATCCTCGGATTTCCACTCGCCTTTACTCATGGTCAGGTGCCCCTGGTAAGGAAAGACATGAAACAGAGCCCCACAGAGGCGCCTTCGGGGCAATTACTCACCAGCTGCTGTTCTAAGGGCGGGACCGCATCGTGGTGGCCGTATATTATGCCAGGATTGTACTGACTGAAAAGGACTGGATAGAATACTTTCTTCCCTGCAGACCAGAAAACAAACATTTGCTGAAAGCAACAGATAAAACTATTAGGTTTGTTCATATATACCCAACCCTCTGAAACATCCCAGGTATTTGCATCCACTGTTCCTTTCCCCTTCACGCAAGTGTAAAATGGATCTCAGAAGTTCTGCACCAGGTAGGCCAGATGAATAGACTCATATATTTCTGGTCTCTTAGCCCAGGAGTGATATTCAAAATACTGACAGTCAGTGGCTCTGGCACTGGGTATGAAGCAATGAGAGTGGGTGTGAATGACAGTCCCTACGCCTTCTGCCCAGCCAGGCATTAACCCTTCAATTGCTGGCTTGTGGGGCAGTCTGAAGGGTTGCCAGAGGCCAGGGTGACTCTGGGCAGCAGAAATAGATGTAGGGAGCCCAGGGCAATTACTCTCTATCAATTTACATAAAAGAGTTTCAATTATTTTAACAATCGGTATGCCCATTCCAGTAGTTATCAGCTGAATATCAGTCTTGCCTACAAGTCAAACTCTATGAAAATAATTTTCATAATGTGGGTTATTTCTGCTCAGAGCACTCTCTCCTTTGGTAAATGCCCACAGCTACTCCCTTCCCTCTGGCCTCAGGAAGTTTCTCCAGGTCGCATCTGCCCCATTATACTTGCTCCGGTAGATGTTCCCTAAAGCCCACTGCCAGGTGAAAACGGAAAAGAGGTTACAAACGTGAACTTGGGACAACGAGTCCCAGAATTATGGTGCCGACAGGCCCACACTGTGACTCCAAAGGAGAGATCAAACCAGATGACTTTCCTTTCCTTTGTCACTGGGGTAAAATAAGGCTGGTTCAGAAGCAGGGCAGCCGAGTGAACTGTGAAGAGAACCATGCAGGCCTGTGACAGCCCTAATGCCACCCGAGGGAGAGAGAAGAGCGGGCCCCACGGACCCTTACCTGGCTGCGCGTTCAGCCTACACGTATTGAGGAACTCGGAGGTGAAGTGGATGTCAACGTCACAGAAAAAGAGCAGGACGTTGCTCCCCTTCCAGGAGCGGGCCCCAACGTCAAGTCCCTTTCCCCGGGAAAATTCTCCATTCAGTTGGATGAAGGTAAAGTTCCTGAAGTTAGCAGCTCTGAAAGGGAAGACAGACACGGTCACGCCGGTGCCCATGCTTCCCAGGCCAGCAAATCCCCTGGAAAATACGTGACCAAGGGCCACCCGCATCATCTGGCCATGTTTCTTCTGTAGCCCTGAGGGCACTGAGGCTACAGAATGATCCAGACTCATTGGAAAAGCAAGGGGATGGAAGGTACCAAGAGTGAACACCTAGTGAAGTTTTAATATCAGTTCATTTCTTGTTTCTCTGTAATTTTCCCAAATTGAAAACTGTCATGATTAGTGGATATTTTTTGTAATGGAGAAAACTTAAACCAGTGAAGACCAGGTCAACAAAACCCAGGGAAATCTCCAGGCCTTCTGAGCCACCCCAATGAAACCATGGGCCAAGGAAACGACATCCCATTGGAACGGCCCCGCCTAGCATCTTCTCATCTGTATTCAACTCCAGGAACCAGACGTGATCGTCTTGATATAGGTCTATCCCCAACCAGATCTAAACCTGGATTCCTGCCCCACCCTCAGGTAAAGCAGCAGGCGAGACGAGGCAAAGGACACCCAGGACTGCCTCAGCCTCAGGCTGGCTCTCCCGCAGGTCCACTCTGTGATCTAGGAAAGCCCATTAACCTCCCGGCACCTCAGCTGCCTCATCTGCAAAACAGGAGTAATAACACCTTCCTTCACTGTCTCACAAAGTTATTAGCTGGATAAACACTGCCGAGAGTAGAAAGCACTGTGTAAGCACCAGCCACTGCCGTCATTAGCGCAGGCGAGGATTCCCAGGTCCATGGCAGTGAAGCCAAGACGTGTCTTCATTCGGCTGTTCTTTCCCAGAACAGGAGAACCTTCTGAAATGCGATGTCCTCAGCAACAGTTCCAGGAATTCATTCAGCACCCAGTGGGCCAGGGATTATCTTCTACCAGACAGAACTAGAGAACCACTTCTAGCCCTGTTTAGCTCCTAATTCTACCTGGGGAGGTGCCTGGCACTTGGCAAATCCCCCTTTTCCTGCCGACATCACCCTTCTGTTCATACTCTGAGCCCTCCCCGCTACCTGGCCTATCCCCATCCCGCAACTTCTTTCTAATCTTGATGCGGTCAAAAAAAGTACAAAAACCCACTTTCATTATTTAAACTGTGTATTCCAAGTAATTATCTTGGGTAAAGGTCTACACAAATATAGAGTCATAAACTTTTCAAATGCTAAGTTGTAGTTGTATCTGGTAATTTAATCAGTGGAACAAGTTCTGCTACCCCTTCCTTGACTTGTCATCTTCTTTCAGATCTGGGAGTGAGCTTGGGTTTTTATCTTGGGAATCTGTAGGCCCAACCTGTCTGAGTCCGATGCCAGATGTGCTTTTCAGATTTAGATCAAGGCAGGAGGCCTACTGATGGGAAGGGCACTGGCATATGAGTCAGAAAACCTCGATCCAGGGCCTAGATCCATGCCTGCCCTCACAAGTGCTCAACAGATGTTTGTGAATAAATGTGCGACTAGATGGATGATTCTAATCCTATCTCTACCTCTAATGCATTAGGGGCGAGTCACTTCATTTCACTGGCTTCAGTCTCCTCACTGCACAATCTGATGGTTATGGGGCTCAAAGGCCCATCTGCATTCTAAAATTCTATTTTCCTACATTCTGCATCCTGTTTAGCACTGCTCCACGTGTAGAGGCATTCTCCCCCTTTCAGGACTTCACCTTTACTCTTTTCTCTGGCCGGGTTCCCAGTTCATATTTTCTATGAGTGGCACAGCCTCTTCAATCCTGGTCTGGCCCTTGTGAAGGACAGCTACCTCCCTGTCTCCCACACTGCTCAGGTGCAGTCATCTTTCTCTCCCTGGAGGTTTCTACAGCCCAGCTCCTGTAAGCGAGGCTCAACTCACTTCTCCCTGCCCTATTTGCTGTTTTCTAGGAAGTTTTACCCTTGGGTAGTGCCTGGGCTTTTGCCTGGTCATCTAAGGGAGTCTCCCACCAGGTCTCACAGGAGTCCTCCGCCATCCTGGGACCCGTCTTTGTCTCACAGCCAGGAGCAGGTGTCTCTCTTTGCTTGTCTCAAGGTTCATGCGCTTTGAGACCCTCCTGGCCTGCAGGGTGATCTGTAGCTACTTTGCAGAGCAGGGAGGACTGACCTGCCCAAACCCAAGGAAGCAGCAAGGCCATTCTCACTCAGGCTGCATCTGACTCATAACTCAGGATCCTCCTCCAAGAGCTTTCCAGGATCTATCATTCGAGAGCTCAACTATAAAAATGCTTTAAACTACAGAGAGTAACTCTTGCCAAGGGAAGAGGAATAGTTTCCTAATATGCTGCGTTAAAGGAACTGCCGATTTTCCTCCTTGAACAGTCTGGAGTCCATTTGCACAGATACATCAAACATTTACAAAAGCTGTTGAACACTTAAGAAAGAATACGAGGCAGCCTCAGAAACTGAGGTGACCGCATTACAGGTACGACAAGCCTGGAGGTGACCAACCTCTGAGTGCATGCTGCAGAGACAGCTGAGTGCTACAAATTTGGAGGGGAGGGTGGTCATTTGGTGGATACACTCACCCAATACATAAATTAATCTAGTTTTTTCTGTCCAAAAACTCTCCAAACCATGGCATTTTGCCCATTCCTGCCTCTGTCCTCCGATGCCTAGTGGCTTCTTGTGCCTTTGCTTGTGTAGATATGGACAGGATGACCTCGCAGGCTCTGGACCCTGGAGGACAGGGGATGCCTTACTTTTTCTTTCTGTCTTCAGAGGTTATCTGACACCGTACGGTAAGTGGCACACACAGGGACACAGTGGGTGATCAACAAACACTAGATTAATCAAGAACCGAATCAATGGGAAACACTGAGGCGCACCTCAAACCTGTCACTGTTGGAGGGTGCTGCCCCGAAATGCCACCTTCTCTCCTTCCCTGAGGGGGGCACTGGAGAAGCCCCCGCACATAAGTCCACCTCCCATATCACAAAGAGCCTTGCCCAGCAGATTTAAAAAAAACAGGCACAAACCCAAGCCTTTAATAAGATGACACACATATAAATAACAGAACAAAAGACAGCTGAGGAAAATAAGATGCAATCTGGTTTGAAATATTTAATTCGCCCATGCAAAGAAATGTAATATTTCGCAGCATGTCTCACAAGGCGTGGACATTTTTCATGGTAGACCGAGAGCACTGCATTCTGTACTTCGTGATTTCCTATTATGCCTCAGACTCTGCAGTTTCAAAGGCCCCATGATTACTCATAATTATTTCTTCTTTTCTTCTTGACTTGTATGATTGGCTGATGAACTCTTGAGTTTCACATTCAATTCCTTTCTTTTATATAATAAGTCTGGTGTACGGGGACTCCTCCAAGTTATACATAATCATTCTGAGAGAGGTTATAATGACCTGAGAAAGCTACAGTTTCTACTCGAGATTTAATTTCTCTAATTGACTTGCATTTCCCAGAACTGCTAGATTAAAAATGATGAAAGATCTAGCTGTCTAATATAATTTACTCTAATACAGACTTCTTCCCACCACTGCAAAAAAATTCTCTTAATGTGACACTTCCTACAACAGCCCTTCATTTTAAAAAAGCACTTAAAATTCACATAGAAACCAGTATTACATTCAATGTATAATTTACAATTTTAAATCTAACAGTCCTAATATTAAAATCGCCTGTGAGTTCTACTTACTGAAGACATTTGAATACAGTAAAGAATTTAAAGTAGGCACTTTGAACAATTAATTTAGAATTTTCTAGATTCTGAACTATACAGACCTACTTATACAGCTCGGTTTGGCAAGTTTCTTTTGAAAAGATGCACAATTGACAAGCTACTAGCTAGATGGCCTAGGAAAATGAGAACTCATATTAATAAAATTACAAACAAAAGAGGAGACATTACAACTGGTAACACAGAAACTCAAAGTATCATAAGAGACTACTATGTATAATTATATGCTAATAAATTACATGATTTAGGAAAAAATGAATTTGTGAAACATACAACTTTACCAAGGCTGAATCATGAAGTAACAGAAAAATCTGAACTGATAAATATTAAGCAAGTAGATTGAATCAATAATAAAAAACGTCCCAACAAATAAAAGCCCAGGACCAGATGTCTTCACTAGTGAATTCTACCAAACATTTTTAAATGAATTAATCCCAATCCCTCTCAAACTCTTCTAAAATATTGAAGAGGAAAGGTCACTTTCAAACTCATTTTCTGAGGTTAGCTTTAGCATGATACCAAAGCCAGAAAGGACATTACAAGAATAGAAAGTTACGGGTCAATATCCCTGATGAATATAGGTGCAAAAATTCTCAACAAAATATGGCAAACTGAATTCAAGAGCACATTAAAAGGATCACAGATCATGATCAAGTGGGATTCACTGCTGAGATGCAAGGATGGTTCAACACCTGCAAATTAACAAATACAACACACCACATTAACAGAATGAAGAATAAAATTGTATGATCATTTTAATAGACACAGAAAAAGCATTTGACAAAATTCAGCATCTTTGATGATGAGAACTATCAAAGTATTACGTAGAGGAGGAATGTACCTCAACATAAGGCCATATATGACAAGTCTACAGCTAATATCATACTCAATGGTGAAAAGCTAAAAGCCTTTCCTCTAAAATCAGAACCAGATAAGGGTGCCCATTCTCACCACTCCTATTCAACATAGCACTAAAAGTCCTAGCCAGAGCAATCAGGCAATAAAAAGGAATAAAAGGTGTCCAAATAGGAAAGGAAGAAAATAAAATAGTCTTTGCAGATGATGTGATCCTATTTATAGAAAATCCTAAAGACTCTGCCAAAAAATGCTAGAACTAATCAGCAAATTTAGTAAAGTTGCAGGATAAAAAAATAACATGAATATCAGTTGTGTTTCTATACACAATGAACTGAAAGAGAAATTAAGAAAACAATCCATTTATAATGACATCAAAAACAATAAAATAAAAAGGAGTGAAGCACTGATACATGCTACAATGTGGATGAACC